AAAAAACCGATTCAAGTTTTGATGCATGAAAATGAATTATGAAAATGAGGTCCTTATTCATATACACTGTACAGTATACTGAAAAGGTTTCACATTCATGTCATTTATTGCTGCGGTTATTTCGAGTGAGATTTGAATTCTTTCTCTTCTTTCTTTCGACTCATCATCGCATACATCAGGGAATATTCGACGATTCCGCCGCCTGTGCGAGTTGATCCAGGCCCAGGTGTGCAGGAACAGCAAACCCCTGATGCCCCCGGCATCCCCTCGGACCCCGCGTCGGTACACCAACTCGACGTCATCCTCGTCGCCGAATAACGGGGCAACCCGAACCCGGCCCAGGCGAGACCACAGCAACAAACCCGGTGACGTGAGCGAGAGCTCGTCCTGCGGCTCCGACACGTCCGACAGACTGTCGTCTCTCATGATGGCTGCCCCCAACAACACGCCGTCGCACCACGTCGTCGGCAACAGCAGCAACAACAACGGCTGCCGGAAGCCCGGCGCTCAGGTGTGTTTCCGGGTCTCGCCGGCCTGGAACCGCGGCGGTACTACACCGACCATCCGCAGAGATGCACTTTAGAACCCAACCCAGCACACGTACGGGTGTCAGTGAGGTGGCCCGCTATTTCTGCAGCAGCACGCATTATTCCTTTGGATGTTGTCTCGTGCCTTCCTATAAATTTGTGACAGTCGGGACTTCGTATCGATTTTCTGAACAGTGGGACGCCGAGATGTGGACGTAATTGGCGCATGAACCTTGTCTCTAACTTGGAACATCCACATGTCTCACCTCACTTCCTACATAGACTTCAATGGAAATAGTTTAAATTGGTTTGGCTGTAAAAAAAAGATGAAAAATGCCCCCAAAAACTATAAAAAAATATGATGTTTCATCAAATTCAAGATACAGATAAATGTACAGAGGAAAACCAGGCGGAATTTGATCTTTTGGCATCAGAAAGAGCTCAAGAAGCAAAAACCAAAAACAAATCTTGCTGTACTAAGCAAGTGCTGAGCATGCACCATGGAAAAAAACAAAAAAAATTAAGCACAAAATTAGCCTGTTTGTCATTATATGAATCAGGAAAATTATATCATTACATTCATGTTTAACATTTGTAAAGGTTATATAATGCTGAATATAATAGCTCAACTTCTTCAAGGAATATGACAATTTATAAAAATGAAAATTTTGAATTCTTCTAGAAATCTTTAAAAACACGTTACGATATTGAGTCACTGTTCCCATTTTGGGGAACGATTTTTTAGTTCCAAGTGTTCCTAAGTCAAATTGTCCATATTTTGGGGAGTTTGCTTTCAGGGTATCACTGTACTTCTTCCCAATGTTCTCAAACTCTTTTCTCTATCTGTGTCTAACCAGAGTCTCCGAAAGTGGTTTTAATCTTCAAGAAAGGAGCGATATAAAGTACAGGGTGGGCCCAAAAGCCTGTTCACCGATTTTAGAATCAAAAGAGCTCCATGCCAAATCTTGCTGCAGAAATTAAAGACACCAAGAATGCCTGTTCAATTCCCGTTTTAAGTGGTCTGAGTTTTATGGTCTCAAATGCAGTCAGGACATAAATATTACCTTCCGCCACCGATTGACCTAAGAACTTGAAGGCATCCAACTGATTTTCTAAAATTTTTATGAACGTGTCTCAGGGGTCGTATGCTCAAATTGACCATTGAAAACAATTAACCTGGAAAAATTCAGCGTCTAGAGATATATTGTACCATTGAAATTGATGCTAGTTTGACGATACTGAATGAGGAGATAAGCATGAATAAGATTTCATAAGCAAAAAAGTTACTCTGACTCTGGAGTAAATTGAGAAAAAGTATTTATGACAAAGAAATTTGCAGGGATTTGTACGAGGTCTTAATTGGGGTCTTACTTTTACGCAAAAATTCTGGATTGATCTTGATGAATAATTTTTTAATTGAAATTTAGAGGCAAAAGGATATGCTTTAAAATTTATAGCTACTGTATCCCTCAGATGACAAAGAATTAATTTCTTGCTTCTCAAGTAGTGTAATGTTATGCATAATATCATTCCGAATTCAAAATGCGGGGAAAGTACATCATCCACCAGTTTTTTTTTATTTCTTCTTCAGACGGATTCGGACTTTGAAAGTGATGCTTCCTGCTTTGACACGCCAAAGCATGCTCCAGCTCTGATCCGAGGAAGGAAGTCTTCATTTCCATCGACCCCGCATAAGGTCGCCATCGGGAACGGGACATCTGATCAAGCGACACCTAACCAAGCTCAGGAAAACAAAGTCTGCTCCGATGTCGCAGCGCCTCCACAGAGCCCGCCTACCATATCAACGCATGTAGACCCTCTGATGGGTGCAGAAACAGTGCTAGTCAACGGAACGAAGCCCACCACTCCTTCTCTCAAATGACGTGCTATTATGCTACGACGAAGCGTGCTTCATTTTTATTTTCAGTACGTTAGGTTGAGTCTATAGCAGCTTCGTGTCTTAGGAAGCTCGTCAACCAGCAGAGGGAGTCGCGTTCAGTTTCTCCCTGATAATATAATTGCCGTAAAACACTCACGTGAAGTTATATTTTCGATTAGGTTCAGTGATGGACGGAGTGACAGAAATAAACACCGGAAGCCAGTTTTGTTCGATTTCTCCGGCGCAAAAAAAAAACGGAGTTTAGGATACCGTATCCCTGATGGTTCGCTATTTTTCGCGGACGTGTGAATTCAAAAAAAGGGGGAGTGTTTCCAAAGAGTAGCAGTGGGAGGAGGAGGAATAAGTTGTGTGATACCTTGTTCGAACATTCCGTGAGAAGTGGTTGCATGTGAGAACGGGAAGATGTCACCCGAAATTGTCATGCGTCGAGGCACATTCAGCAACACAGAAAACAAAAAGAGAGAAGGAAAGAGAAAGAAATAAGCCATTCCTGGTCTTCGCAACTGTGCTGGACATTTGCAAACGGCATTTTTGATGAGTGAGAAAGTTGAAGCACGCGGCATGTTGTAAAGTATTATTACCGAGGAATTAATGTGCAATGAGAGTTTGTCTTTCCGAAGCGGTTTTTTGATGAGTTGATGAGTTATTGTATACTGACGTATACGAGGAAAGAGTGCTTTTCTTTCTCCTCGTGCTGTGGAAGTCGTCGTCGCAAGTTTCAGTCATATGGGATAGTCACGTTGTTTCCCCCCATTATACTGCAATGCACCGGATGAGCGGCAAAGTAACTTTTCCATTTAAGAAATACCCCCTTAGCTGGGGAATTTATGTTTGTTTCTCCTTCTATGGTACACCCGGTTTATCGAGGAAAAAACAAAATTCATCGCCCAGGTCAATGGATGACATAACAAAAATCTACCTCATATGAGAACGTTCCATCAGTCCTCTGGTCATCGACATTTAATCAAGGGAATGCGATGAATTGCACTGTTTCTCCATAATTGATTTTCAAAGCCCTTTTCAGGTACCGGAACTTCATTAAGAGTACTGTACTTCAAATCGGCAGTTTAAACTATAATATGCGAAATAACGAAACAGTAGAATAAAATGTCAACAACTCCCCGTATAATTGATTTTCAAAGCCCTTTTCAGGTACCGGAACTTCATTAAGAGTACTGTACTTCAAATCGGCAGTTTAAACTATAATATGCGAAATAACGAAACAGTAGAATAAAATGTCAACAACTCCCCGTCCGCGTTCGAGAAGGAATATTGTTCTGAATTTGAAGGCTTACTGTTTAAAGTTAATCATGAATTTGAAGATTATCGTTTTTGGAAAACTTGAAACTCAATCAGAAAAAAGAATGCCTAAAAGAAATATACCGGGATAGTATTTCATGTGCATAAAAGCGATAAAGAGGTAAAAATATCTGTTCTGCTTGATTGAATTTTAAATTAACTATAGCAAAAAAAGTTTTCCAAAATATTCAAAACCCAGAATGAACTGTGAGCTTTTCTCTTTATACGACGCATGTGGAATATTTCAAAATTGGTTCGTGTTTCCTCTTTTCGAAAATGCGTCTATATGAAGCAGTTTTTTTTTAATGCAGTGCTGATCCTCAGTGTTGAAATAATGTGTTAAAAAAATTGAAAGTCATTTAATAGAGAAATCTGCGTTAAATTTACATTTCCACAGCAATCAGAGGCTGCTGTTGTACTCGCTATTATCTTTTCCAAACTCTGGACTCCCCTTGATTGACAATGTAACTGAAGACGAAATAGTATCTGCTGTGCTCCATATAGTTTGAAATTTCCTTCATGAAGAAGTCATTACTGTATTCAGCTGTTTTGCGAATAAGAAGGGAAAACCCTCATGACTGAAAATCAGGCATTAGGATTTGTGTGAGAGGACCTTGTAGGGGAAGGGGAAGAATCGCGTTGTTGATTTTGCATTCGGACGTTTTTTCCGCCGCATTTGTTTTCATCGGTATGATTTCTTACATCAACTGATCGGGCATTTTCGAGCCGCGTGTTACGCATAAGACACCAGGAGCGAAATTGAAAAAAAAAAATGTGACGACCACGTCGAGTGCATTAAAATGAGCTTCGAGGAAAATAGCGTCTGTGTGTTTCTATTCACTTGATGCAGTTGACGCATTAATTTAGTCAAACAAAGATGAAAATTTCTTTGCACTGAGCAGTGTGTATTTCTGAACGTCAGTCATTGGAGAATATCATGACTTGAGCGAGTAACGATCATCAATAAAACAATAAATAAGGCATACGAACGAGACCCACGTCTAAATTCAGCCATGGCAGTACACAAGAACCTTAAATAATCGATCATCCACTCGACTGGTAAGAGTGCGCAAATTTCAATAGTATTTTAGCTGGAATTTTACATTCAGCAGTGTTGCTTGAATCAATATTTCACGAATTTTACTCAAGATCCGAAGAAACGTTGTCGTTTATTTTGGTTTTGTCGAACGAACTTACACTGTTCAGAACAGATTTAATCAAGTTCCAAGTACGATAATAGATATCATGATGATTATACTGGATGAGAATTTCAAAATTCAATCATAATTTCAGCAGCTTCGTTCACAATAGAAGCGCACCCTCGAACTGCTTCCGTCAAGTTTCCGCGGATCCGAACAATACAGGCGTCGCATCAATGTTTTACTTTCTAGAATATCGGAGACAATTTTGAATGAATCCCGAATGAGATATGTTTGGAGTGCAGCACTGCGGGTATACATGTGTGGGCGTCATTGTCGGTTTGTTGCATTCCGATGCTCGTCGGAATTCGCATGGATTCCCCAGAAGTGCGAGAGTACATGGGGAAACTGGTGGTGTGCGACTCGGTTGTATCGTAGCACAGATCCTGGTGCAAGGTTTAATTGCGTGAAAGTAGGTGTCGCGTGTGAGCCACTGGAATCGTGAGTCGCTTTCCAATCACAGTACAGTATGCAATTCTGCCCCCTCCTACCTTCGGATGCAGTTATACTGTAGTTGGTGCCTGGAACTGCTGTATTTTCCCAATGTCAGCACTTCCGCGTGTCGGATCATCTTTTTTTTTTAGTAGCCCATGCTGGGAATATATTTCACTGGGGTAATCTAAATCGAGGAGGACGTCCCCAAAAATGGAATCAAAGATTTTACAACTTCAAGATAAAGAAAAAAGAGGGCAGAAGAACACCACAATTGATCTAATCTCTTGACATGGAAAGGAGCCCAGAGAGTGAAGAACAAGCACACGTCTTTCGATACTATACAAAGATGATGGACAGAGCACTGAAAAAAGAGTTGTACCATCAGCCTGTCTTTGATCATGGATTTATAATGAATATTTTTTCGTAAATATAAAAGATCACGTAATTAGTTTGAGGCATCAAACCGTTGCGAAAATATAATTTTTTCAATTCGCCTAGAAATGTTGGTGATCTTGAGGCATTGTCTGGATGTCGGGGCGGATTTTCAAGTTATCTTATTATTGTGTCCCTCCCAGTCCGTATGTTTCGGCATCCACATGTCGGAGCTCAACTGTAATTTGTAGACCGGTGGGAATCATGAATTTCTGCTTCTGCGCATCGCTTTTATTCAATCTGTGAAAGCTAATTCGTGCGGTGAAATGGATATCATTTGAGCTGGTTATTCCTGGAATGACTGCTGATCACTCTTTTGAAACAGATTGGCTTCAATGACGTAATTGCATGCTACATGACCGCCAGTTATCTTTCGTGCAGTTGAAGCTCCAAGAGAATTGTGGAAAGATCTGGAAACTATAAGGATGTGTATTAGTGTATTAAGAAAGTACTGTTTCACGCGTCTTCACTTCTTCACGTGGATGATGAATATCACCGGGTCATCATCGCACAGGCAGATGAAAATCTTTGTGATCTTCCTTCAAAGTGGTAATCATTGTCACGAAGACAGAAATCGGAAAACATTTAGATGAATTTATCTGTCATGGTATCCCTGGTCCTCAGAGGAAATTTCAAATTTACATCAAGCACCGTACAAGGACCGAAACATTTTTGAAAAACGAGGAAGGAATTTATTACAAATTCGGATGTTGAAAGAAACAATATTGAATATTTCCTAATTTCAGTACAATTTTATGCATCCAAGTACGGTAATGCTGGTGTTTGTTTCGCAGAAAATTCGGCAACAGTTTTCACAACTCGAGCACGTATGACAGAAAATCAGTGAGAAATCATTCCTTTTGAGAAGCGCATTTTAAATAGCACGCTGCTTTATTCTAGGTCAACGTACAGTATTTAGAAAGCATCCTCAGATCAACATTTCCCATATGTGAAACATTTTCTTCAAAAACTGTGTGAGTTTGAGCCTTGTACCTAAAAAGTATTGTACTGTACAGCACTTGTTTTTGGAAGAAGAGGTTGAAGTGCCTGAAGAGGTATTCACGCATGAAAATGATGCACAGAAACCTTTAATTTGAATAATGATCAGTTATAGCAAAGCACTTCACAGGGATCGAGGGGGAGGGGGGGGGGGCGTTATGGATTTCACAATTCAATGGAAAGAATATTACGGGGGCTAGCTTGGCTAGCGGGGGCTAGCTTGAGAACCCCCGCTTGGAAAGCGGGGGTTCTCAGACTTGCATATAATCGGGAAATTCTTCTCAAACGCGGTTCACTGATGCGAAAGAAACTGCGCTGGCAGAAAAGTTGCTTCAAATGAATCTTTCGCGCAAAAGAAGCGGGCACGAAATCCTATTGATCATGCTGCCTTCTACGCAGAAAACGTGGCAGATCTTCTCATCACGCAATTCACGCTTTCGTTCACACGAAAGAACGAAAAAAAAAACGGAATCGCCTGATGGGATCAACAAATGATTCATCTCGGGCCACTCGGTGAACTGAAACAAATTCTCAGTATACACTATACCTTATAGGACTACAGCGCATTTTAATGGGATTTGCATGGTAAAACCCTCTCGAACCTTTTCATTTTTACCATGTGTTTGCAAAGAAGTAATTTAAGAAGGGTACACAGGTTTCAAAACAACTTGAAATTAGTCAAATGCTTCAAAAGATGCCATCTATTATGATCAGCATTTGTTTCTTCCTCCATCTCAAAAGAAGGCATTTTTTTCTGAAAATTGAGAAAGTATACCACCTTCATTCAGTATCTTCAGAATTATCAGAGATATACTCGTGCTTCACTCATGGGATTTCAATCTAACTAAAAACCACTCTGTCATTTCATGTGTCACAATGGGAAAGAAAATTATAGCCAAGATTTTCCCAATCGAGTTTTCTCTGGAATTCTATTAAAAAATCTTATTGATCATCCGCAATAATTCACTTTATCCGCGAACAGTATACAGTACGTCGTCATCAGCAGTATAGCGATACAATTCAATCAAAAACATCTTCATATTTAAGCCTTCGTCATTAAAAAAAAAAATACAATTTCCACGATTTTTGAATATACTTTCATTTAAAAAACATAGAAAATCAAACATGAGGAAATACTGTACATAATTGCACAATTTTCAATGAGCATCATTAGAATTCCTGGTGGGAATAAAAAAACAATTTTTTCATGGTCTTAGAACAAAAACGATGTTCTCAAGCAACTGCAATTTACCCAGGAACATACATCATCAGGAACGTAAATTTGAAGATTTCACATATGCAATAAATCATTTTATTCGGACATCTTCGTTTTGTTCGTGGTGCTCTTTGAATCAAGCGATGCATGACTACATTATGCAAATATCGAAAAATTCTTCTACCAAATAATTTTCAGAAGCCATGCTTATCTAGGCGTAAATTCAATTAGCGTTCTCCGCTCCATGGACCTTTAGACTTGTGATGGCTAAAAGAAAAAACAAGCCTGCTAGTGCAACGAGGGTAATTTTTCCTCTCCTAATTGATTATATTATTTTGACCATGGGTCAGCCGACGGACAATCATTTCCAATTAGCAAATTTGCACGATACTGTTTGATTTCATTTGCACGGGAAAATAGAAGGGTGTGAGGAGGGCATTGTTTTGTTTTTTGTATTCTTGCCTCGACACACTTGGAAAAATTAGTTGCTTGCACGATGTGAGGTTGTTTTTAATGTTTTAATCAGAGAATGAAGAAACTTCATTGCTTGATTAAACATTTCATTACGCCTCCTTGGAAAAGAATATTTAAAAAAAATATAAAAAATGAACTATAATTGGATTTAGGTGTATCCGGTATCTCCAAATGCAGCCTATATACTTTTCTCTGCTTCATCAGCGTATATCCTACGAGAATGTAATTTAGCAATTCTGACGCCTAACTCAGTTATCTGCCCAGAAAAAGGAAAGGAGTTTTTGCTCTTGTTTTTTACAGAAATGGTACAATGCAAAACACTGAAATAATGTATTCCGAATGCAACAAAAACGACTCGAAAGAGTCGAAACGTTATTCGACTTTTTAGAATCAATGAATTGATTCATTGTCTGCAAGATTTCGACATTGCCGCAATTCACTACGGTGATGAGATTCCAGAATATTTGGCAGTTTTTCAAGAGTTTCGACAGAAATTCCGACGTATTCAAAGACATCCAATCATGATCAATAATTTAAATCTGGAACAACAACACTCTTGTAGTCCATTAGTACACATTGTATGCTAATAAATTCCACTCTTCATCTTGTCAAACACGAGTCTACTCTACAGCTTCTCAAGTAATTTTTCTATCTGAGAAAATATTTCAGGCTTGAGCGGCGCTAGTGTGAATTCATGAGAGTTTCGTAACGGGTCTTTTTATGCATCCTTCTTCACCCGAATGAATTCATCAATCTTTTACACTCTCCAGTACACTCCTATC